GCTGCTTTCAGGCTGGTGATCAGGCTGGCAGTTGACTGAAGCTCCCACCGCTCCTTTTTTCTTTCTTTTTTTTTATTCTGGGCCAGCTTTAGCTCTGGCTCTAGCTCTGAGGCTTCCACTGCTGAAAGCAGGTATCTGGTTTGTTTGCGTTCTATAATCGAAACAATGTATAACTCCAGCTCTGAGATCCCGGCGGGCTGAAAGCTGGTTTCTGGGGTTTTGTTTAGCTTCTATATTTGTTACAATGTTTCTTAGAGTTGCAGCTCAGAGGCTGGCAAGTCAGGCGGGGAACGTTGGAGTCTGCAGTCACTGGAGCAAGCAAGCCTCATGTTCACTTCCATCTTGGCTGACAGTTAATTTGCATAAGGATATGCTGATTAGCCAATGGGAAGGGTAGCGGTTGTACGCTAATTACCATGTTTCTCTTTTATTAGTGTAGATTATGTTTGAGTTATACCCACGTAGCACGTTATCAATAGTTCATTCCTTTTTTTTTATTGCTGAGCAGTATTCCGTTGTAGGAAGATTTATTTATTTGTTTGCTCATTGGGTTGCTTCAGCATTTAGCTATTACAAATAAACATTATGAATATTTGTGTAAGAGTCTTTGCAATACACATCTTTCCTCTTGAGTTGAATACCCAGGAATACAATGGCTAGATCATGCGGTACATGCATGTTTAACTTACTCTTTTCCAAAATAGTTGTGCTATTTTTCATGCCTAAGAGCACTTGGCATCATCAGTCCTTCATTCTAACTAATAGGTATGTAGGTGTCTCATTGTGGTTTTTGTTTGCGTTTCCCTCATGACCGCCCACCTTTTCACGTATTTATTTGCTGTCCGTATATATCTTCTTTGTTGAAGCATCCAAATCTTTTGCCCATTTTTTTCTCTTGGTTCGTACGTCTGAGAGTTCTTCAGAAATCCTGTGTGTCGTACTTCTCCAGATAAATGCTTTGCAGTGCTTCCTCTCAGTCTGTGGCTTGTGTGTTCATTCTCTGAAACTCTTTTTGAAGAGCAAAACGTTTTAATTTTGATGAAGTCCAGTTACCAGCTTTTCTCTTGTGCCTGTATTGCTATAGCTATGAAACCACTGCATGAGTGAATTTACTAAAAGTCATTGAACTGTAGGCCTAAAACGTGTGCATTTTATGGGATGTTAATTATATCTCAGGAAAGTGTGAAAAACAAAACAGGCGACACGCCCTTTTTCCTCCTGTGACTTCTTGCCCTGGCAAACTAGGGGGGGGGGGGGGGGGGGCCTCAGCCAGGGAAAGAAGGCGGGGAACTGGGGGAGAGAGATGCCTCGAGGAAACCAGACCAGCGGGAAATGATTGCAAAGTTGGGGGAAGCAGCCAGGTTCTTGTCAAGCCGATGGGTGGGTGGCGTTCTTGTCTCTCTGCCTGGCTCAGACTTCCCAGCATCCTCCTCCTCCAGGGGTCTCAGTGAGCCGGTTTCTTCCCTGCACCACTGGGCAAACCTGGAGGCCGCTGGGAGGGAGGAGGAGCCTGGAAACCAGAACGTAGGTAGCATTTGTTGTTGTTGTTAGTCCTCATCTGAGGATATTTCTCCATTGATTTGTAGGGAGAGTGGAAGAGAGAGAGAAACATCGATGTGAGAGAAACACATCAATTGGTTGCCTCCTGCCTGAGCCCTGACCAAGGCCCTGGCCGGGGAGGAGCCTGCAACCAAGGTCCGTGCCCTTGACCGGAATCGAACCCGGGACCCTTTGGTCCGCAGGCCAGTGCTTTTTAGATCGCATGTTTGTGGTACTGAGTAGGAGGGATATGGGATGTGGGACATGAGTTTCATTTTTTTTAAGTTTGGGCTTACAGTGGTAAAAGCTCTGGAATTTCTTTTTCTTTTCTTCTCATTTTTTTAAATTGTGGTACGAGCAGTTAACATGAGATGCGCCCACCCTTTCAACAAAATGTGAAGGGCACAAAACGGTGTTGTGCCCACACCCGATGCCTCTTCCATGGACAGGCTCGCCCCCGGGCCTCTCTGAAGAGTGCCCGCCGTCTGGGCCCGGTCGGGAGAGAGGAACCTCACGGTGGGTCCAGCAGGGGCAGCTTAACAGGAAGAATTACTACGATACCAGGAAGCCTGACGTGGTCTCCCAGGGCCGAGGGCCAGGAGGGCGCTCAGGGGAGGACAGACTCGCAGGGGCTCAGGCCTCCCTGGAGGGAGACGGCCAACCCACAGGAGAGCGGGGGAGCTGGCTGGGCAGGCGCCACCCTCTGGAATGCAGGCGGCGAGCCGGCTCTCAGCAACCAGTGTGTGGGCATCAGAGGAGGGGGCACCCCCAGGGCGACAGCAGGGCACGCGGGGCACCTGCAGAGGGAACCCGGAGGCCAGCAGGGGCAGGAGGCACTGATTTCTCTGTCCAGAGGGTCCCAGAAAGGCCATCGCCAGGCCAAGGCTGCAGGGGGTGGGGACGGAGGGATCTGGGCTCAGACTGAGCTCCACCAGGTGTCCTCACACCCCATCCGACCGTGGTCCCCTCCCCCCAGCCAGACGTCCCAGGAGCACCCCTTCCTCTTGCAATGTCCCTCCACCGAGACAGCTTCGCCTGGGGTGCAGCTTCAAGCAGAGACACTTAAAGGAGCCCGTCACTCACCCCGCAGCTTGTGCGTGTACGGAGGGCGCGGTACCTAGGTCGTAGACTCACCTAGATCGTAGACTCACCTAGATCGTAGCCTCACCGCCTTTAATAAGGAGAGATGGCGGGAGGGGTGGGCCCCCCGTTCCCGCGTGTGAGGAGCGCGTTCCCGGCCTGGGTCCTGCACAGCGAGGAGACTGCAGGCTGTAGCTGATGCCCGGACAGGGTCTCTGGAGTCCCTGGGCACGCGCTAGTCTTTACTGTGACATCTTTTTCCATCGCAGGGCAACCCGAGACCGAGACCTGGGGACCTGATCGAGATTTTCCGGATCGGCTATGAGCACTGGGCCATCTGTGTGGAGGGCGACCGCGTGGTCCACCTGGCGCCCCCGAGTAAGAGCGGATACGTGGCCAAGCTCGTGGCGTCGAGGCGCCGAGGAAAGCGGGCCCCGCCCATCCCCGCTTCCTCCGCGCGGCCCACTGAACAGTAAAACACCCAACGCACGACTAGACCGCGCCCCGGCCAGTGTGGCTCAGTGGAGAGAGTGTTGGCTTGCAGACTGAAGGGTCCCGGGTTTGATTCTGGTCAAGGGCACGTACCTTGTTGCAGGCTCGATCCCCCGCCCTGGTCAGGGCGCATGCAGGAGGCAGCCAATCAATGTTTCTCTCTCTCTGTCTCTCCCCCTCCCTTCCACTCGCTCTAAAAATCAATATCAAAAATATCCTCGGGAGAGGGTTAACAGAGAGAGAGAGAGAGAGAGAGAGAGAGAGAGAGAGAGAGAGAGAGAGACTAGACCTAACGGTACTGTGGGACAGAGCCTGGTCTCTGTCCACCAGACACGCGGTGTGTCCAGCCCTAAAGCAGAAGCGAGTGAGAGCGTCCCAGGTTCCCTTTCGTTTCCATGGCGTTTAGGAACGTGAGCCTCCGACCTGCCTGTGTTGACAGCAGTTCCACATTCTTCCCCTGTTCCTGAGGCCCCGGGACGGGTGCGGGTGCTTACGTGCCCCGATTGCCACTTGCTTCCCGTTGTCCCCAGTGCTGCTCCCGGCTTCCCCGGGCGCTGGGAGGAACAGAGGGAGGGCCGCGGCCGGTCCTGGTCCTTCGATGCCTTTGGGATGTGTGCCCTGTGCCCACACAGCCCATTCGAGGCTAAATGACAGCGGGTCCCCGGCGCCCAAGGCCCGGGGCCTTGCTCACGGCTCTCACCCCGGCCTGTGTCCTGTCGCCTCACCGCCCAGCCCGTCCCCTTGCTGAGACCTTCCCGCAGAGCAGCCCCTCTCCCAGCGCCCCCCCTGCAGCCCCATCCGCCCACACCCCCACTTCGGTCTGGGAGCCCACACGGAGGGCAGAGCGAAGAAGGTGACAGGGCTTCACGCTGCATCCCCCAACCCCCATCTCTGCTTCCCAGGAGCCTCCCTCTGTACAGCCAAAGGGACTGTCACAGCCCCGTCCCCGCCCTCCCGTCAGATCTCTCTAAACATGACTTCCGCCTCCCTGTCCTGGGAGCCTGAATTGCCTCCTGCCAGCTTTGGTGAAATAGGCAGCTCTTCTTCCAATTCGTAAGGAAGAGCCAGGGACGCTACTTGCCCTCCGACGGCTTTGCAAGGGGGCGGGACACACGTTTGCAGAAAAACAGCCCTGGTGTTAAAGGGCCACCCACGGGGGCAGCTTCCTGACCCTCCCTGAGCCTCCGTGCCCCCTGAGGGCTGAACATGTTAACTAATCAGCTTCCAAACGTCCCTTTTTTCAAAGCGGCGGAACCCTTGGTGAAACCCCATATGTGAGTGGAGAGAGGCGGAGTGGCTCTGGGGGACGCGGGTGGGGAGGGGGTCCCATCCAGAGCCCCATCTGTGCGGCCTCACTGCGCCCTGACAGTGGCTACGGAAGCACACGTTAGCCCCTTACCCAGGAGCCGACGCCTACACGGCAGGGCGCTCGGCACGCGTGACGGCTCCTGAAGTCTGGTCGGTAGGACACAGAGTGCAGTCGGGGCCACACCAGCGGCCACTGTGAGAGTTTTACGAGAGGCCGTGGATGGAAAGTGGGGGCGCAGGGCAAGGCCCAGGCTTCCTGGGGAAGCTGGCCCTTTAGCTCATCTACTCCAGCTCCCCCTCCTCTGCACGCCTCCGACAGGTGGGGGAACGGAGGCCCCAGAGGACAGCAGCTTGCCCGGCATGGGAGAGCGCGCCGGGCTCTGCCCCGCTGTCCCTGGCGGCTCTCCAGCCCCTGTTTGCCTCTGGCCTCAGGTGAGGAATTCGTGGCCGGCAGCATCACCTCCATCTTCAGCAACCGGGCCGTGGTCAAGTGCAGCCGGCTGGAGGACGTGCTGCACGGCTGCTCCTGGAAGGTCAACAACAAGCTGGACGGGACGTACCTGCCCCTGCCCGTGGACAAGATCCTCCAGCGCACGAGGAACATGATCAACAAGATAGTGCAGTACAGCCTCATCGACGGGAACTGCGAGCACTTCGTCAACGAGCTCAGATACGGCGTGCCCAGGAGCCAGCAGGTAGGGGTGCCCAGGAGCCAGCAGGTAGGGATGCCCAGGAGCCAGCAGGTAGGCATGCCCAGGAGCCAGCAGGTAGGGGTGCCCAGGAGCCAGCAGGTAGGCGTGCCCAGGAGCCAGCAGGTAGGGGTGCCCAGGAGCCAGCAGGTAGGGGTGCCCAGGAGCCAGCAGGTAGGCATGCCCAGGAGCCAGCAGGTAGGGGTGCCCAGGAGCCAGCAGGTAGGGGTGCCCAGGAGCCAGCAGGTAGGGATGCCCAGGAGCCAGCAGGTACGTGTGCCCAGGAGCCAGCAGGTAGGGGTGCCCAGGAGCCAGCAGGTATGGGTGCCCAGGAGCCAGCAGGTAGGCGTGCCCAGGAGCCAGAAGTTTCATGTGCCCAGGAGCCAGCAGGTAGGGATGCCCAGGAGCCAGCAGGTAGGCGTGCCCAGGAGCCAGCAGGTAGGGGTGCCCAGGAGCCAGCAGGTAGGGATGCCAGGAGCCAGCAGGTGCGCGCCACTGGCTGGGATGGACGACCGCTTCTGCTGAGCTGTTTTGGGCTTCTCCTGTGGGTGGTCAGAACGGCGATCCGTGGTGTCATGTTATCTATCGCACTGGTGGGGGCCTGCCGTTTCCAAGGACTTTTCGGTCCTTCTCATCTCTATGAGCCCATCGAGGAGAGAAAAGGCGCTGGGCGACACGGTAGGACCACTGTTGGAGTCCAGCTGGGCCCTCACTGGCCTGGCCTCCTTGGTGAAGCTATTTTATCTCCCAGACTGTCCCTTCCCTTACAAAACGGGGATTAACCAAGGCAGACACTCCGCTGCTCAAGTTGCAAATTGAATGACGAGTATTTTTTACTCATTTGCCTGCATTTAAAAATGTAGAAATTTTATATTAAACAATATGGATTCCCAGCCGCTCTGAACAACCCATCGATCGGGCCATTGGGCCCGTGTTCTCGCTGGCTGATGGTCTGTGGGGCCCCCTTTCGATGGGTGGTGGTGGGTAGGCATGTCACCCACCAGTGTCACCACACACCTGCCCGGCCCCACTGCGTTTGGGTTTGTGCCGCCCCCACCCCCCACCCCCCGTAATATAGGGGGGGACACATTCAATGGTGGCACAGGAGCTTGGGAAGCTACGTCCCCGAGCCAGTGTGAGCTGCTCTTGTTGACATTTGGTCTCTCTTGAGACCCCATGAGAAGAGCAGAGGACGTATGCATTACCGCCTTGTAGTAGGTTTTCAAAAATCAAGGATTAAATGAGGCACGTCATTTTTCTAGGTTCTCTTCCACGTTCCCTATGTTTTCCTAACGCCCCGGGCAGATCCCAGCCTTGGTCTCTGTACCGTGCGACCCCATCCCCAGGCACCTCGGGGGGAAGGGGCCTCCCAAGCTCGCAACTCCTGCTTCTCACTTTCCGCATCTTCCTCCTCTGCATCCCCCCTGGGAGGCCTGTGGCAGCGAGGGCCGTGGTGGGCGCTGGGACGAGGGGTCCCCCACCCCTTGAGCATTTGTACACAAGGAGGAGATCCCGGGGGTCAAGGGATTCTAGGAGGCCCTCCTTCCTCCGAATCCTGGGCCCGGACCTGAGCTCGTGCACTAATTCACTGTGTGACGAGGTCCAAGGGAGGTCCTGGCTCCCTGTGTACTCATCTGCAGAATGAGGGCCCAGGGGCTGCGCTGCTCTGAGGCCCTTTGCCTCTGAGCCCCCCCACCCCCACCCCCCACACTGGAGGCAAACCCCAGGCTGAATGGCTCTGAGGCAGGAAGGGACCGGGAGCCCGGTGCCCCCACTGTGTGCGCCCGGGCCGCCGTCCTGGCTTCTCTGGGTCTGTGCAGCTCTAGGGCCTTTGAAACTGGAGCACAGGTTGCTTCCTGCTCTCGGGAAAGGCTCCAGGCAGGCCGGTTCCTGAGCGGGATGGCGAGGTGGCGGTGGGGCTGGGCACAAGCCCAGGACCCTGCCCGAGTGTCCTGTGAACGGGTCTGCCCTGCAGGTGGAGCAGGCCCTGGTGCAAGGGGCGAAGGCGGCGGGAGCCATGCTCTCGGCCGTGGTGGAGAGCATACGGCCCAAGGCAGTCACCGCCGGCAGCGACTCCGGACACCACGCAGAGGAAGAGCCGGGACGGCAGCCAAGAGAACGCCCTCCCTTTGCTCCCCTGGTCTCCCTGCTCAGCGGCCCCGTGTAAGAAACTCCTGAGCTTCCGGAAGAATCTGGCATGTACCCAGTTACCCCTTTAGACGTGTGTCCGATATGTGTGATGAGACCCAGGGACTCGCAGGGTGGGAAGAATCCAATATTTATTACGCAGCTGTGAGGCTTGGTCACCGCCACCCCACTCTGTAGAAGGGGGTCTCGCTCGTGCCTTAGGCCGAACCTAGTCTGTGATGCCTGAATACCATGGGGTACATCCCGGAAACCTGCTGGAATGTTCTCAGTAATAAGAACTCCTTACAAACGTCCTTTTTGTGAAACTAACACGTCTCTAGCTCGTCCGGGTCGCTCCAGCCCTGCCCTTGGGGACCCGCGGTGCCGTTCAAGGGAGGAGGGATCCGAAAACCTTGGCCTCGCTGCTCAGGGCCAGCTGTGCCTTAACCTAGGAACACCTTTCCCAGGAAAGATTTTCCTTGTAAAATCACACGTCAGCTTTATTCTTTACTAGAGGCCCAGTGCACGAATTCGTGCACGGGTGAGGTCCAGCCGGCCCGCCCTGATGAGGCCGATTGGGCAGGGCTGGCCGGGGGAGGGGACGTGGGAGGTTGGCCAGCCAGCCCGCCCCCAGTCAGGGTTGGGGGGCTGATCAAGGGTGGGGTGGCCAGGGGGAGGGGCCACAGGCAGTTGGCCCGCCAGCATCACCCCCTGGTCAAACTCCTGGTTGAACGCCCAGTCCAGGGGACAATTTGCATATTAGCCTTTTATTATATAGGATTACTTAAAAGCCCTAATTTAAAGTATAACCAATAAGACCCTTTATCTTGCTTTTCTATCTTATCAGTACCAGAAAATTTGAAATTTCTATTTTCATTGACTTCAGATGAATATTTAGAATAGCTTAACCAATGCACCTTCTACTGTGTGAATGAGGGAAAGCAAGGCGTGACGCGATGGAACATTTAAATTATGACGGGGCATTGGCAGTCATCGTTGGGAGCTGAAACCACACAAGGAAGCTAGGGAAGGTCTAGGAAATGAGAAGGCGGGAGAGGGCAGGAGGGGGCCCATAAAACCTGTTAGGACCTCCCATGAGCCTTTCTCCCATTTGGAGAAAGTAGACCTGCAGTGAAACTTTTTCTTTTTTTTAATCCTCACCTGAGGATATTTTCCCATTGATTTTTAGAGAGAATGCAAGAGAGAGGGAAAGACAGAGAGAAATATTGATGTGAGAGAAACACATTGATTGGTTGCCTCCTGCACACGCCCCATCCAGGGCCCGGGCCAGGGAGGAGCCTGTAACCGAGGCATGTGCCCTTGACTGGAATCGAACCCAGGACCCTTCGGTCCGCAGGCCGATGCTCTATCCACTGAGCCAAACCCGCTAGGGCCCTGCAATGAAACTCTTCGATTGACCCCCTCCGTTCTTTTCTTAGCAATTCCCCTTTCCAGTTCCTTCTAGATCATAGACACTGGAGTCAGGGGAGGGGGGAAGGGGGGGCGGGAGTCGTTGATTGTCTTCCCCAGTGGAGGGCCTCTCTCTGCTCAGTCCCGGCGCTGGTGGCTAAGCACCCTGTGTCTGTGAATCCTGACCAGGACAAAGCCATTGCCTCCAATTCCCACCATCAGCTCGCCCCCCACTCGCCGAGAATCCATTGAGTTCCCCATCGTCCTCAGCCTCTCTACTCATTACACAGGCTACAGTGAGACTGCCTCTGAAGCAGAACCAAGATCCAAAAGTTCTATTTTATTTTAAATACTTTTATTGATTTCAGAGAGGAAGGGAGAGGTAGAAACATCCATGATGAGAGGGGATCATTGATCGGCTGCCTCCTGCATGCCCCACACTGGGGATCGAGCCCGCAACCCAGGCATGTGCCCTGACCGGGAGTCAAACCCTGAACTCCTGGTTCATAGGTCAACACTCAACCACTGAGCCATGCTGGCTGGGCTAGAATTTTATTTTATAAAGTTTACTAGAGGCCCAGTGCACGGATTCGTGCACCGGTGGGGCCCCTTGGCCTGACCTGCAGGGATCGGGCCAGAACTGGCTCTCCGACATCTCCCAAGGAGTCCCAGATTGCAAGAGGGTGCAGGGCCAGGCCGAGGGACCCCACTGGTGCACAATCAGGGCTGGGGAGGGACCGTGGGAGGGCTCCAGGGCGTGTCCGGCCCATCTTGCTCAGTCCTGATCGGCCATACCCCAGCAGCAAGCTAACCTACCAGCATATCTGCCCCCTAGTGATCATTGTGCATCATAGCGACTGGTCAAACAGTCAAACAGTCGGACACTTCGCATATTAGGCTTTTACCATAGAGGATTCCTTTTAGCTTGGAATTCCTCAGTCTTGCATTAGCGAACCTTTAGATCTGAAGCTGACTTTGAACTCACATAAATTATTGGTCAAACAAACCGATGTTATTCATTTAACCAACAACTGCCCCGTGCCAGGGAGTGTAATAACTTCTAAACAGAGGCCTCCTCCGGGTCTTGCTTACGTTTACGACAGAAAGATACCTCTCTGGCTTCTTTCTGGTTCGGACAGACCCTGGGGAGCATCTCAGGGCTGATGTTCACTCAGTCACCCAACAAGCACGCCTGAGTCTACCAGGTGCCACGCCCTGGCCCCCACCTCTGCCTGAGCCCACAAGCCGGGTCAGGGAGGGCGCTGAGGAGTTCTGCGTCGGCCGCGAGGGCACAAGGCACCGTGGGGCAGGGGTGGACAGTGTCTCCTGCTCCCCCGCCGTCCAGAAGGCCGCATGCCCTGCAGTGCACGCTGCACACTTTGCAGGCGAGGAGCGGCGTGGCGCTAAGGCTGCAGCAGCTGCTGTGTTCCAGCGTGAAAGCTGAAGTCTGCTTTCATGGGGCCCCGGGGCAAGCCTGGTGAGCTTTGCCGCCAGCAGGCACGTGCCCACTGTTGGGGGGGGTGGGGGGGGAGATACTCAGGGAAAGTAATCCCAACGCCAGTGTTTCTGAGATGCCAGAGACTGGTGCTTGTGTGTGTGCTTATTGTCCCGTGTTTATTCCTTTTCCCTTTGGGGGATGGGTGAGCGGCCAGTGGTGGTGTCGGCATGTCACAGGGAAGGCCAGGGAATGGAAGCTGCTGGGGTTGCTGGGCTGTGGGAAGTGGAGGAAGCAGGACGGGGCAGAGGGAGGCGCGGGGCCAGGATGTGGTCCCAGCAGAGGCCTGGCCAGCCCCCGGGGGCTCTGGAGCTGGGTGCCCTGCAGGGGTGTCCTACATCGAGGTGAGAGGGCCGGTCCCCCACAGCTCTCCCTGTGTCGTCGGTGGCTGCAGGCCGCCACGGACAACGGGGGACCCTCCCAGAGAGGGGCACAGTGGGGAGCTGGGCGTCACCCACTCCTCCACCCTGAGGCCGTGCGGGGGGCACGCCACACGTGTGGGCAGAAGCTAAGTTTCTGTGTTAGTGTCTGGGACCCAAAGGCAAAATTCAGCCTCTGACGAGACACCCACGGGGGATGGAACCCACACTAGCCGTCCCCCGCGAGCTGTGGGCGAGACCCCGCCGACGTGCAGACGTGAGGCGGTTCCACGTGAGAGGTGAGAGGTGCTGGGTGCTGCCCTCCAGGGCGGGCGTGGCGTGGAGTTTTCTCTGCAGCCAGGTGACCAGGCTGCGCAAACATGTCGCTCCGGAACGGACACGCCGCCTCCTTGGCCCCTTGTGCCTGCGAGCGGGCGGCCTCGGGAACCTCGTCACTTCAGGTTGGACGTCGAGTCATTTCAGTATTTGCTTCTCTTTGTCCAAGGGGGGACCTAGCTACTCGGCGGGCACGGGAGAGGCGTGGAGTCTGCCCTGCCACCCCCTCTGTCCTGCGGGCATCTGCCCCAGCCACGGCAGCTGTCAAGGTCTTGGACCCTGGGTGGTCTCTTTAAGGTGCACTTCCATCCCTTTCCAATAGGGTGCGCCCTCCTCGAGACTGAAGCTCCTTCAGGAGGCCAGGTCTGAGCCTATCTGAGGCCCAGCGGGGCATGGGCTTGTCGGCACGTCCTCCCAGGCCTCTGGCCACCTCTCCCTGGGAGCCGCCTCCCCTCTGTGGCATCAGGGGCACCCGGACTAGCTGGGCCTGTTCACGGGTGCGGTGGTTGCTCCTACCCTCACGTCCCCAACATCCGGGGGGCAAACCCAGCATAGCTGCCCCCTGGAGCAGGTCATGTTCTAAGCCCATCAGCCTCTATCTGTCACAATTCTTTTCCATAATCATCGTGCAATGAAACAAAGAATAATAATAATAGCCAGAAGAGACAGTGAAAAAAAATGTTATTAAACTTTACACGCAGAACCACACAAGCAAAACCACAGAATGAAATAAAATATTTCAAAGCACAACTGCTTGCTCAATCGTTTTTCTTCTACCTTACCGTTTGAACTTTGGTCCTTTGGCGATAGCCCGATATAAAATATTTTATAGAAATAAATGTTCAGTAAACAAAATTTTCCAAAAAAAAAAAAAAATCAGCCAAATGTATAATCTAGGCAACTACAAAATTGTGCCACGGACGTAACATTTTTTCTAAATTTTTCTTTAGTTTTAAAAGTTAATCACTTAAAACTCAAAAATTTCCATTTAAAACTACTATTCAAATTCAGGAAAGTATTTCATATATAAAATGAAATGTTCGCTCACCAAGCACAAGTGCACCTGACACACAGGAAGAGCCCCAAGGGGCCACATAACATGACATAATGGACGTCATTCGAGTTCAGGGTCTTTATCTTTCCAATCGCTGTGCTTTCGTTGTTTGTTTTGAATCCATGATGTAGAGGCAGGAATATGTCAGACCACAGGCATGATAGTCCAAAGTGATTCTGAATCTTTGTAAACTTCTTTTTTTTAATCCTCACCCGAGGATATTTTTTCATTGGTTTTTAAAGAGAGTGGAAGAGAGAGAGAAAGACAGAGAGAAACACCTGTGGTTCCGAGCCTTGGGCTCTGTGCCCTTCCACATGACCTTATGCGCTAGGCCAGCGGTTCTCAACCTTGGCTGCACATTAGAATCACCTGGGAATCTTTTCTTTTTTTTTACATTTATGCATTTATTGGAATTATGATTTTTAACATTAGCAAAGTAGAAATTTGGAAATGAGTTTAAAAATTAATAAAAGACATAGATACTCAAGATAAAATTTTAAACCTGTACAAAAGTTTATAATGTGAAAATTAAAAAAGATTTTTCACTACTGTTCTTAATCCTATCTCTTTTTAAAAAGTTTTTATTTATTGATTGATTTTAGAGAGGGAGAGAGAGAAACATTGATCCAATTAGTTGCTTCTTTTTTTTTTTTTTTAATCTTTTTAAAATCCTCATTTCCGGGCCTCATCCTCCGGAAATTCTGTTTCTTTGTTATGGGGTGGGGCCACAACATTAGTCACAAAGAAACAGAATTTCCGGAGGATGAGGCCCGGAAATCAGGATTTTAAAGAGATTCCCAGGTGATTCTAATGTGCAGCCAAGGTTGAGAACCACTGCTCTAGGCGATGCTGGAATCACACCGGCCTCTTGTCTTTGGTTTCTTTTGGGGATCCACAGCCTGCTGCTCTAGAAAGTGACTGCGTGCCCTCGCTGGGGTGGCTCAGTGGATAGAGCATCAGCCTGCGGACCAAAGGGCCCCAGGTTTGATTCCAATCAAGGGCAGGTACCTGGGTTGCAGGCTCCTCCCCAGCCCGGGCCCTGGTTGGGGCTCATGCAGGAGGCAACCAATCGCGATGTGTTTCTCTCTGTCTTTCCCTCTCTCTCCCACTCTCTCTAAGAATCAATGGAAAAATATCCTCGAGTGAGGATTCAAACAAACAAATAGGAAATGACTGCGCATTTGAGGTGCCCCGAAGGTCTACCAAGGAACCTGTGCTCTGGGCCACGACCCCGTCCACGCGTGGCAAGGAGCTGTGCCTGGGCCTAGTGTCTGGTTCTGTCTGTGGAGCCCACAGTTACCCTCCCAGGTCACTCAGCTATTGGCAGGGACAGGCTTCCGTGGAGTCGGGTCAGGCCCCGCAAATCACGTGTGGAAAGTACCAGCCTGCATGCCTCAGGCCTCTGGGGCCGCAGTAACCTCTGCTCCCCCCTCCCCCGGGAACACTCTGGGATCGCCGATTTCCTCTGCTAGGAGGGAGTTAGTAGTTTCCCAGTTTCCACGTGGCCTTTTCCACTGGGAAAGCTCTCAGCCCACAGGCCAGGGAACCCATGCGGGGGTTCTGCACGCCTCCAAGTAGGTCCAACCCCATCCGCACGCAGGGGCTGGGGAGACCACCGTTCTGTGCGGGTGGACCCCGTAGAGCTGCGGAGTCGGGCTTCCGTCAGTTACGCTGAGGTAGAGGTCAAAGCGGGCGGATACAGACGAGAATCCTTCTTATTCGAAGTACATTTTTGAAAACGGTTTATTTAGTCACTTGCTCTCTCACCGTTGACATCTTACAGTATTTTGAAATTTTACTTAGTCCTTGTTTAAACTTTGAGTACAGAAACAGAGGAGAACGTATCCCTCGCTTTCAAGCTTGCCACTACAAGTTCACTGTTTTTATCATTTTGGTGAATAGTTTTCTGGTTTTCTCCAATAATTTGTTAAGGTTTTGCCCAACAGTCGGTTTAAATAAGTGTGATTCAGGTGGCCTCTCAATGTCTGGCATTTGCTTTTACTATTCAGAACATTTTGTAGCCCAAGATTTTGTAGCCAAGCTTTCTACTGAAAATTATGGTTCATTTTTTTCCAATTAACTTTTTATTAAAGTAGAATATTGGGGAGGTTAGGGTATGAGGTCACATTAGTAGTCATTTATTTTTTAATATTTAGTTATGCTATTTGTTGCTTGAGCCTTTATTTTTCCAGTGATTTCTGATACCAAAATTCCATAGTAGATGTTACATCCGCTGCGGTCTGTTTCTGGACTTCCTCTGATGTGTAAATACATCTGCTACTACTGTGTTGACTGTTGCTGCTGTGATAAAGTCTAATGTACGCTGCTTGAAACACTGGGCAGCCCCTCACTCATGATCCTCTTTTTTTGTAGGGTCCCTAGGCCTGGCCGGCGATCAGGGCCGATCTGCGGGGTGACCGGCTGGACAATCGGGGGGCCCCCACTGGCACCCGCCTTGGCTGGCCTGGGGCCTGCAGGCTGGGGGCAGCTCCTGCATTGAGCATCTGCCCCCTTATGGTCAGTGCGTGTCATAGCGACCGGTCATTCCACCATTTGGTCAATTTGCATATTAGGATTTTGTTATATAGGATTTCTAAATAAATTTGTAAACTCTTTTTCAAATTCTTCCAAAAGTAAATGGTTTTTCGTTTTGATTAATTACTCCATCAACTACCAAGTAATTGGAACACAATCAATGTTTTCAATACGATTCTATCTTTCTATCCAGAACCATGCTAGGGATCGACATGCATACACATATTTTATGATGATTTCTTTAAGAGTATAATGACTCTTCTCAAACTTCTTTGTATAATTAATCACAGGTATTCTATACATAGTTATTTAGGACTGCAATTGTCAGATTATCAGTGGTATCCATCTTTTTCATTATATCTTTTAATTTATTTATTTCCCAACATTTGCCAACACCTAGGCATGATCCCATCCCCTGCCCCTCCCCCCCCCTTTTTTCCTGGATTAGCAGTCCATTCCTGGAATTCCTTAAAACTGGGTCACTTTTATGAAGGTGTCTTGCTGGTCTGCTTTTCTTGAGCCTTTTCTCCTGGAACAAACACAATGAAAACAGCAAACAAACACAAAACATTAAAAAACATATATGTTGTGTATTCTTTAGAGCAAGCTAATCCTTGACCCACCTTGGCCCCTTTGATGAAAACCATGACCCCTACCCTGAGGATCTGAGTAAATGTTATGAAGAAAGAGGCCAAGTTCCCAGGGCAGGATCCGGGAAGACAGCTTGCACACATGACATTGGCCAAAGGGACTTGGAAAAGGCAAGGAAAGTATGTAAAACCTTACAAAAAGTCCTTCCCGATCCTCGATCGTCTACTATGCCAACATCTGCCACCCCCTTTCCTCTTTGCTCAGCACTTGCATCCCCAGTGATGACCAGATGGTCTGACTGTCAAAGGCAGCCCTCCCTCCCTGAGAAATAGGCATCTGGGGGGGGGGCGGGGGGGGGGCTCTGTCCTCTCCATGACTCTCTCAGATTCTTCAGGGACCAGGGCGTCCACGGTCCTCCAGGAACCAGCCATCCAGAGAGCTCTCTGCACTCACGGGGCCCAGGGCTGCCAGGGGGCTGAGATGAGAATCTGGTGTTTGGATCTGTGCATGGTTGTGAAACACCTTCAAGTGGGGGTGTCACACTAGGGCACCTCGCCCACGAAGCCTACTGGTGCAGGCCGGGCAGAGCTGGTCTGTGTGACCTGGGAGCCTTGGGGGAGTCAGAGGTCACTGCGGGGAGGGACAAGGCGTCGACCCCGTGGAAACTGTCCTGGTCTGAACCCGCCTGGAGGACGGTGGCCCCGTTTCGTTTTGCCTTCCCCGTCACGGACCCGTGGCGCAAGCTCCCCTAAGAGCCAGCCCGCGGTCACTCACTCCTTTTCCACGTCCTGGATGGAGTCGGGCAGCGGCTGATTCCTGGTCTCAGGAAGGAAGAAGACGACAAGGCTGGGGACGAAGGAGGAGACCGCATAGAGGATCCAGGGCAGGTGGGGAGAGTACACCACCAGGATCATCAGGAGGGGAGCCATGGCCGCCCCGATATTACCAGCCATCGCCACGATTCCTGAAGCTGTGGCCCTTGGCGTGCAAACAGCAATGCAAAAGTCATCGGGTCAAAACCCACACGGGTCAGTTGTGATTTCTCATTTCGCTTTGATTGTGGGAGACAGCCCAGCAGTGTTTAGCTACCGAAGGTTGACAATATACTACTCCATGTCAAACACTCTCTCTTATTTGCTTGCAATGTTTCCCAGTACACAAGTGCATCAAGCCATTTTCATTATTTAAAAAATATTCTCGCCGAAACCGGCTTGGCTCAGTGGATAGAGCGTCGGCCTGCGGACTGAAAGGTTCCGGGTTCGATTCCGGTCAAGGGCATGTACCTGGGTTGCGGGCACATCCCCAGTGGGAGATGTGCGGGAGGCAGCTGGTCGATGTTTCTCTCTCATCGATGTTTCTAACTCTCTATCTCTCTCCCTTCCTCTCTGTAAAAAATCAATAAAAAATATATTTTAAAAAAAAAATATTCTCACCCATAGCAACTACCTTTTAGTGGTTCAGGAGAACATGTGAGATGATATGATACATTAAAGGACTTAACCCAGTGCCTGGCAAAAAGTCAGCCGTAAATAAACCTTACCTATAAATTACTGTTGCTAGCCCGGGTGGCATGGCTCAATGGTTGAGTGTCAACCTATGAACCAGGAAGTCACGGTTTTATACTCAGAGCACATGCCCTCGTTGTGGGCTCGATCCCCAGTAGGGGGCATACAGAGGGCAACCCATCAATGATTCTCTCTCATCATTGATGTTTCTCTCTCTCTCTCTCTCTCTCTCTCTCTCTCTTTCCCACTCCCTTCCTCTCCGAAATCAATAAAAAGATTTTTTAAATAAATAAATTGTTGTTGTGATGGCTTGTTTTGATGACTAATCAGCCTAGTTTGCTCCCCACTGTAAGTGTTCACTAGCCCGGAAAGGTCTGCTTGACCCTGGTGGGGCTTCGGTGAGTCGTGTACCTGATGACGGTGGGGATTAGCTCGTTTCCGTGGGCCAGAGAGCACATGATGGCCGCCGACGAAAATCCCATTCCCAGCGTCGACAGAGCCACGCGCAGGGTCTGCATGTCTGCAGAGGAAGACCAGTGAGACTCAGGGCACCTGAGGGACCACCGTTCCCCAATCACCAGTGGAAAAGATGCTGCTGAGGATGCTCGCATGGGCTGCACATGTTGTAGAGGAAGCACACAGGGCACAGGATACAGAGAAGGACAGCTGAGAGAGATGACTAATCTATACGTCATCATCTTCTTTTAAAAACTGAGTTCTTGCATCACCTCTCCCTACTTATCAGAACTTTGCCAAAGACGAAGAGGGCAACTGGAGACCAGCAAGAGTTTGCCGTCATTTATTCTGTCCCGAGCCTCCTGCCTTTCACGGAGGACGTGGGACTGTGACATGAGCAAGTACTGAGGGAGGCAAGACTCGGCAGTGTCCTCGAAGAGTTCAAAACCCGGCGCCTATGCCACATGGGCACGGAGCGTCAACAGCGCTGGAGGAGAGGGCGATGAGAGGGCAGGACTCGTGTTGGTGGACACGCTGGAGGGTGGCTTGGTCTAGAACAGTAGTCAGCAAACCGCGGCTCGTGAGCCACCTGCGGCTCTTTGGCCCCTTGAGTGTGGCTCTTCCAAAAAATACCACGTTCAGGCACGCACGTACAGTGCGATTGAAACTTCGTGGCCCATGCGCAGAAGTCGGTTTTCGGAAAGGAGGTAGACGAAACAAGTATACAAGACGAGTGTGGATGGGAGAGTTGGATGGGGTCAACCTCAGCGAACGTACCTCAATCAGATTGAGGACGTTTTTAGCAAAGGCCAGCTTAGGAGGACCCTAATTAAATTAATAACAATGTACCTACCTTTATAGTTTAAGTTTTAAAAATTTGGCTCTCAAAAGAAATTTCAATCGTTGTACTGTTGATATTTGGCTCTGTTGACTAATGAGTTTGCCGACCACTGGCCTAGAATAATGTTTGAAGACTTGAGAATAAGGACCGCGTTAGGCGACAGAAATAGTCAGGCTTTGGAAACCCCTGAAAGGACACTTTGGAGCCAGTTGTCTACTCAGTTTAAAACAAAACACCACCTCATGAGAGCGTTACGTCCGAGTGGGCTGACACTCGAGGCGAGGGAAGCCCATGGTCTGGGACCCTGTGAAATACGTCACATACTCTTCACTGGGGTTAGTGAAGCGTGGGACGCCTGGTGCCCCTCTCCGTGACATGTGGTCATTGAGTTTAGTGAGATCGAGTCTCAGAGAGGCTCTCACTGCTTGGAGCCTGTTCCTGGCGTCCACTCCTCTGCGTGAAGCCGAGGGGCCTCCCCGGGCGCAGCTGTGACACACGGGTGCACAGACGGAAGTCGGGAGTGGGCGGGCCTGACGCTGGAGTCATAGAAGGAGCCCAGACAGAGGGAGGGAGAGCGCTGTGTTGGCACATGAGACACAAATACCGCCGTTTACAGCTGCACGTGTGATTGGCCAAGGGCTAGGCGTCATGGCTCTCGTAGAGACATGGTCAGGAATGAATGACAGCAATCACTGGGCACTTCTCAGTGTCGATGAAGGCAGCCTGGGATCTGAACTGACCTCTGTGACCTCTGACTCCTCCCCAGCCACCTGCTGGCAGGATCTGTCCTCAATCCTGAGATTGCTTTGGGGAAGCCACTAGAACGCATTCTCCCTTTCCGGCTGGCCTCACAGAGGTGTGAGTAGGTTCCCCAGGAAAAGGGGGGAGACAGTTCCATTCTTCAACCTGCGCCCCTTTCTCACCTTGCGGCACAAACGTGATGGCCAGGATGAAGCTCCCCAGCAGGAGCAGAAAGAGCATCTGGCTAAGCCGCCGGCCCAGGCGATTCATGGCCAACAGTGCGACGTAATTGGCCGGGAGGGTGATGGCGCCAAAGAGAACCTGGAACAGGAACACGTTGCTCCCCAGGTACTGGAGGTGCAGGCTCAGGCCGTAAAAGGGTATGACGTTTGCAAATCTGTGGTGAGCAAAAGAAGAAAGATAGATGGCTTCAGGTTTAGAACCTGCAAATGATGGTGAGAAATATTGTCAGCCAAGCAGCCGGCGGTTGGTGAGAAAAAATGAAGACATCGCCCAGCCGTGGTGGCTCAGTGGTTGAGCGTCAACCTATGAACCAGGAAGTCAGGGTTTGATTCCCAGTCAGGGCTCGATCCCAGTGTGGGGCGTGCAGGAGGCAGCCGATCAATGATTGATGTTGCTCTCTCTCTCTCTCTCCCTCTCCCTTCCCCTCTGAAATCAATAAAAATGTTTTGTTTTGTTTTAAAGAATGAAGACATGGTGGGTTCTGTAGAATATGTCTTTGCAGGGTCATGATTTTAAAGCGTCATAAAATATTGTATGCTTATGGGGCTCATATTTGTTATAAGTGTTTCAGGAGGTGGCGAGTGTTGTGCTTGCGGGTACGTGGTGGGGCCTTCTAGGGTTTTCCAGTCCTTTCTACATCCCGATCTGGGTGTGGCTGCTCATTGACATGTGTACATACTCATAGCGCTGTGTTGCTTGTGTGCTCTACTGTTTGTAGTTTTACCGAAATTACCATAGAAACAAACAAGGGAAGAAACTTAAAATCAAAACCTGTGCCACGACTGAGGCTCCCAGCCTCAGTTCCCATGATGAGCCCGGTGGGGCCACGTGACAGACAGCACTCGTCATTGGGCAGTCAGTTCCGTGTCCGCCTTTTCATAGCTCTCCGACTGTCTGTAAACAAGGCAGTATTCCCTATGGCTTCCTCATGTGTTATCCCGACTCTGTTCCTAGGCACGGTGTGTCCTCTGAGGGCCACGGGGCCACGCCTGCGCTACTTAGCATTCCCCGCGCACGCTGGGAAGCCTACCGCACACAGGACAGGAGGCAGATCCTCTCACGCATGTTGGGCGTGCGGAACAGGTCGGACACGGGGGGGTTGGTCTGCGCGGCCTCCAGCTCCTCCTGCATGGTGGACCTCAAAACCTTCAACGACAGCAACAGCACCCCAGTCAGTCGGCACAGCGCTGTGGGCGGAGGGCAAGGTGGACCCTCCCCTCTCTGTCTATGGAAAATACGGCCACACAGATGCAGGACAGAGGGGAAAGGTTGGGGAAGGGGAGTCAGGGAGCTCAAAAGGCCTTGAGGAAATTGTGGAGCCACCAAGACATTAGGCATGAGATTCGACGGGGCTGCACGACATCCGCATGCACGTTAGACATTCAGGTCGGGGAGGGCAGCGAGGCAGGTACTCGGGTCGTGGCCCAAAGCCCCACTGATGCCAGACGGACAGGAAAGACCCGGGAGCTGAGCGTGGGGCTCGGCTGGCCGTCCTTTGCACACACTGTTTGTCTCCGGAGAAAAGAGCATTTCCTGAGTCTATGTTGGTTTCTCACTCAGACTCAGATGGAAACACAAAAGACCCTAAATGGTCACAGCACTTTTCTGAGCATAAAAATGCTGGAGGCATCATATGTTCTGATTTCAAAATATATTACAAAGCTCCAATCACCAAGAATGTGGTACCGGCATAAAAATAAACATGTAGACCAAGGAAGCAGGGTAGAGAGCCCAGCTATAAACCCATGCGTACACAGTCGACTGATCTCTGATCGTGGCAATAAAAATTGACAATGGAGATAGAACAGTGTCGCCAATAAATGGCCCTGGGAAACCGGATATCCACAGGCCAGGGCGTGACATTGGAAAGTTACCTGACACTGCACACAAAACTCAACTCCGAATGGGCTAAAGACGAACATGTACGACCTGAGGCTGTAAGATTCCTAGAGAAAACTTCTTGGTATTGGTCTTGGCAATGAGTTCTTGGTTATGACACCGAGAGCACAGGCAACAAGCAAACATAGACAAGTGGGACTACAGCCAACGGAACATCTTCCGCACAGCAAGGGACAATTAACAAAATGGAAAGGCGCCTGCGGAACGGAGGAAATATTTACAAACTGTGTGTGTGATAAAGGGTTCATGTCCGAAATACATAGAGAACTCCTACCATTCAAGAGCAAAACAGCCAAATAACTGAACTTAAAAACGGGCATGCGAACAGAACAGACATTTCTCCAAAGACGACATACAGACGGCAAACAGGTACATGAAAAGGTGCCCATCATCAGTAATCGTTCCGGAAACTCAAGTCAAACCCACAATGAGGTACCACTTCACACCAGTTAGGATGGTTACTAAAGAGACAGTAAGAGTTGGCGAGGGCGTGGAAGGTAGGATACCCTTTGCCGTGTTGGAGGGAATGTGAAATGGCGTAGCCACTAGGGAGACAGTATGGAGGTTCCTCAAAACATTAAAATTAGAACTATCATAGGATCCCATAATTTCTCTTCTGGGCATCTCTCCAAAAGAGCTGTGAAGAGGATCTTGAAGAGAGATTTGCACACGCGTGTTCATTAGAGAACTAGTCGCAAAAGCCAAGCCATTGGGAACAACCTAACTTCCCATCAACGGACAAGGAAAATGTGGTAAAAAGGATATCACTCATTCCTAGGAAACCCTGCCCTGGCCGGTGTGGCTCAGTGGAAAGAGTGTCAGCCTGAGGACTGAAGGGTCCCGGTTCGACTCCGGTCAAGGGCACATGCCCAGGTTGCAAGCACGATCCCCAGTAAGGGGTGCGTAGGAGGCAGCCAGTCAATGATTTCTCTCTCATCATTGATGTTTCTATCTCCCTCTCCCTTCCTCTCTGAAATCAATAAAAATATTTTTTAAAGGAAAGGAGGTCCTGCCATTTGCTGCAACATAGCTAACCCTGAGGACATCTTGCTCAGTGACCCCTACACAAGCTCTATGACGGTGAGTGACTGCCTCTGTGGGGGGCAGCACCTGCGCCCAATTCTTCCGGCAGCAGCATAGTCCCTGGGTGTTCACTCAAACAGCGCTGACAGCCCTTGGGGACCAGGGACGTTGGGTAAAATGATGGGTATTCCCGCCCTTCGTTCATCGCATGGACACCATCCAGGGTACATACATGTCAGCTCATGTCTTCCCTGCACCCCATAACCAGCTCCCTTTCCTGTTCACCTCCATGGGTGAGGGTGTCGCCCAGCATTCTTTCCTTCCATTCATGTGCGCCCCCCTTTTCTAAGTTCCTTTAAGCCCCTCCTCCCGGTTCTGTTGGTGATAATCAGCCACCGAGCCAGACTCCCCCCCAATGCACCCTGGTCAGAGAGGACGACCAGGGGAGCAACCACGGCTCGCTTGCCCCTTTCCCACATCCTTGGTCCTGCAATGCCTCTCCCTCCCCCTCTAATACCTCCCTCCCTGCCTTGTTATACCGGGGAATGGGGACTTAGGTCCTCCTGTACCGTAACTAGGAAACTGGGAGGATGCCCTCTCCACGCAACACACCTTCACGGCTGGGGATATAGAGTAGGAATCATATTGGCCTCCCCCCTCCATCCCAGGGAATAGAATCCGTTTTAGCAAATAAAAAGGCTGTGCCTCGTTGAATGCTGTTAA